GGGGGGGGGGGGGGGGGGAGGTGGTCGTAATAACTACTTGCACACCAGGTGGGAGATCCCCACACCACCCATTTCCCCCCCCCAACCATTTTGGCCCCGTGTGTGGGGGGGGGTTGTGTGTGTGTGTGTGTGTGTGTGTGTGTGTGTGTGTGTGTGTGTGTGTGTGTGTGTGTCCGAACATCAACAGACGACAGACGATTCTGAATTCCACTCAACAATCAAGCGCGTCCTTCCTCAGACCACGGACAGCAAACGCCTCCTCGCAGTCAGTGGATGTGGATCTATCTGTCTGTCTGTCTGTCTGTCTTGTCTGCCGTTTGTGCACAGCACGTGTGGCTCGGTGGCGCTTTGTATCCGTGTACCTTCCGTGTTTCCTCTTCACGCTCCTGCTCACGTTACAGCCTGCACCGCTACCGCTGCCCGTTGCCAGATTGCATATGCGTGGGATGATCTGAGCGCTGTGATTGCGCGCTCGCGAAAAACGACTGGAAAGTCTGTGAGGGAGCGCATTGGATCTGAAGCGCCGCGCTCGACGTCGTGATGCCGAAGCCGCAGAACAGCGGTGCTTGCGTGCATGCGTGTATGCGCTTATGTTTGTGTGTGTGTGTGTGTGTGTATGTGTTGTTGTTGTTGTTGTTGTTGTTGTTGTTGTTGTTGTTGTTGTTGTTGTTGTTGTTGTTGTTGTTGTTGTTGTTGTTGTTGTTGTTGTTGTTGTTGTTGTTGTTGTTTGTTGTTGTTGTTGTTGTTTAAGTTGTTGTTGTTGTTGTTGTTGTTGTTGTTGTTGTTGTTGTTGTTGTTGTTGTTGTTTATGTTGTTGTTGTTGATGATGATGATGATGATGACTGACTGCTTCCTGCCTTGCTTGCTTGGTTGTTTGGACGACTGTCGTCCCGCTGTTTGCCTCTGCGTCGTGCTTCACGCAGACTGTTACATGAGCCCGTGTCTCGGTTTCCAATGCTTGCTTGCTCGTTACAATACATATACACGGATGTGTGAGTGCATGGGTGCGTGTGTGCATGTCGTGGGGATAAGTGCATGTGTTGGTTCATGTCATCAACAACAACAACAACAAACAACCAACCACAACAACAACAAGACAACTGGAGAGCGACAGCACAAATTGCATCAAGCGCCTCCATTCTCTTTTTTGTGTGTGCGAGAGACGACGAACCTCTTCGTGCTGTTGTTGTTGTGCTGCGCTGAACCACCCACACTACCAAGCATCCCATCCATCCACCCGTCCATCCCTCCATCCCTCCATCCATCCATCCGTCCATCCAGCACACATACACAGATACCGACACATACAAACGCGCGAACCCACGGCCATGGATTCCATCAAGCGCAACTTTGCCCTGCGGTCTCAGGTTCGTGTTTGAGGCTGAGCTCGTTTTGTGTTCATGCCAGTGTTCGTCCATGGCATGTCCGTGTATGCCAGTGTTCAATATGTGTGTGTGTGTGTAATTGGCATGATGCTCACTCACACACACACACACACACACACACGCACGCGCGCGCGCCCACACGTACGCACGCACACACACACGCACACACACGCACACACACGCACACACACACGCACACACACACGCACACACACACACAATTTGCACCTTTGTAGCTGATGATGCTGAACCGCGCCACCTCGGACAAGCCGGACCCGACACCAGGATACATGTTCACAGACATTGCCAAGCTGACGTTTGAGTCGTCGCAAATGTCCATGGACCTCATGGACTACCTGCTGGCGCGCGTCAAAAAGAAGTCCGTGTACACGAAGATCAAGGCCCTCAAGATCCTCAAGTACCTCGTGGAGAAGGGGCACGAGGGCTTTTTCAAGGACCTGCAGCGACGCAGCGACGACATCCGCCAAGCAATGGGTGCGGAAGCGTCTGTGTGTGTGTGCATATGCATGTGTGTGTGCCTGTAGATACGTGTGTATGTAGCTCTGTGTGTGTGTGTGTGTGTGTGTTTTTAGTTTTGCCTGCACTCTACACTCCACTACCCCCACGACCACCACGATTATTAACCACTAACGCGCGTACCCTTGTTTTCAACTACTCGTGCAGAGTTCAAAGGCGCTGTTGATCCCCTCCATGGGGATACATTCAACAAGCAAGTGCGCGAGCACGCTTCGGTTAGTATGGAGTTTCCTGCAATCCTGCAACGCGCTGAACATGTCCTCCAAGCGTGATGATCAGCATGACAATGCTTTCACACACACACACCATCACACTCACACACCATCACACACTCACCATCACACACTCACCATCACACACACCATCACACACACACACACACCATCTCACACACACACACCAGAAACTGATGGAGGCGCTGTTCAACCCCAAGTCGACCGGCCCGCGTGCGCCGCCGGATGCAAGCAAGACATCGATTGCGAAGGACGCGTTTGGCAGCTCGGGTGCGTCGTTCAGCAAGCCGCCGTCCCGGCCCGCGTCGCAGGCCATGTCGTCCACATCGTCGAGCACATCCAACCTCGGGCAGTACTACTACACGGAGACCACCTCCGCATCCGGCATGAAGATGTGGGGGATGGGCAGCGGACCAGCAAAATGTGAGGCGCCAAGCGTGTGTATCTGTTTGTGGTGTGTGTCTGTGTGCCTGTATGCATGTGTGTGTGTGTCTGTCTGTCTGTGTCTGTGTGTGTACGCGTGTGAACATCTGTGTTTGTGTCTATGCAGTGCTGTTCGACTGTGTCTGCGCCTCCACCACCTTGTCATCACCTCACCACCACTCGTACCCAACCACCCACCCACACATCTTGGTACACTGCCTCCTTTCCCAGCGGAGTCGTTTGTTGACAAGATGAAAGCGCGCGTCTCACAGGCAAAAGACCGCGTCGTCACCGCCCTCAACGACAAGAGTGCGTCCATGACCCATTTCCGCCGTGTCCACACGAGGAGGGCTTGTGTCTGTGTGTGTGTGTGTGTTGTCTGTGTCTGTCTGTCTGTCTGTGAATGTCTATCTGTCTGTGCGTGCGTGTGTGTTTGTATGTCTGTCTGTCTGTCTGTGAATGTCTACCTGTCTGTCTGTGAATGTTAATGTAACGATTATAGTATGGTCTTTAATTGTATGCACATGCAAGTTTACCTGGTGCATTGCCGTCATTCCACCTTTGTGACCGTGCTCCTGCTTTGCATCAACAGACGAAGAGCCAGCCGGATACACGCCCATGCACAACAACGCACACAGGTGCAGTTCCATTGCTCGACCACACCTCTTGCTGCACTTGGCCCTTGCCACCCAATCACATCACTGCAACCATGTCCATCGTGCCACTCACACCGCACTCGGTCACATCATCACCATCATCACCACCACTGCCACCATCACCAGCGAGATGGCGCGTGCCTTCCGCACCACGGGCACCCCCTCCACTTCCTCTGGACGCGTTGGAGGGCTGCAGCGGCCCGGTGGTTCATACCGCGCACCGCAGGAGCCCGCCACAGGGCCAGAGCACTCCTCAATCTCAACGTGTGTGTGCATGGGGTGTATGGGGGTGTGAGGTTGTGTGTGTTTGTGTCTGTGTGTGCGTGTGTGTCTGTGTGTGTGTGTGTCTGTGTGGCTGTGTGTGTGTGTGTGTGTGTGTGTGTGTGTGTGAGTGAGTATGATGAGCAAGTCCTCAACCTATACCCCTCCCTATGTCCTTCCCCTCCCATCTTCCCTTGCCACAACTTTGACGTGCGTGTTGCTGTCATGCGCGGACTGCCCGTGCAGGGATCCGGACTACATTGATCGCGTCGTGCAGACCATCACCGCACCTGGCGGCGTCAAGGTCCTTGCAACCTGCCATATCACATGGCGTGTCTGCCACACACACACACACACACACACACACACACACACACACACACACACACACACACACACACACACACACACACACACACACACATGCACACACACACACATGCACACACACACACACATGCACGCCACGACATCGTACTCTCCCACTTGCAATCACACGCACACACGTATGCGTTGGCTCACCTCATTCTCCCTGGATCACCCCCTATTCTCCTGCGTGCAGGTTGCGCCGCCGCAGCAGGATCTGGATGCGTTTGTGTCCAAGTGCCGGACGCTTGACGGGCACCAGGTCGCCGACGCCCTGCTCGACCGTATCGACGCTGCAGCCACAGACCGCGAGACCCTGGTGCTGGCACACACAGACACGTGGTGCAGAAGAGGGGAGGGGGCTATGTGTGTGTGTGTGCGCGTCTGTGTGCAACTTCCTGTCTGTCTGTCTGTCTGTCTGTCTGTCTGTCTGTCTGTCTGTCTGTCTGTCTGTCCATGTGCCTTTGAACGTCGCCCCTTTGCACTTCTCTCTGTTCGTTTCCTGTGGACTTTCCAAGTGCCACCCCCCCCCCCTTGCCTCTTGCAGTGATAATGACCCTCGCTCAATCCTTACATCCGTACACGACCCTCCCTCCCCCCCCCACACACACACACATCTTCTCTCTGCTTCCCTGCACAGCGGATCCTGCATGTGGTGAAGGCGCTGGCCGGCTCGGACATTATCGGCATCGAGGCGTGCCTTGCCCCCATCAGGGACCCCCTCGAGGTCAGGCTTGGTACCGGAGGGAGACAAGCGATGATGGCCCAACAGTGCAAGCGTCCAATCATACACTCCACTGCAACTCACGCCCGAACACACACACACACACACACACACACACACACACACACACACACACACACACACACACACACACACACATGCATGTCTGTCACCTTTTCCCATATCTCTCTTCCCCTTCACCCCCCCCCCCTTCTATCCCGCCAGGACTACGTTGCTGGGGACCACGCCGGCATCAAGAAAAAGGCACGCGAAATCATTCGCATTCTGGATCAGAAGGAGCAGTCTTACCTTTCAAGCAGCAAAGCTGGCGCCACTGACCAACAGCAGCAATCGCAGCAGTCAAAGCCAGCGGCTGCGCCAACCAACTTGCTTGATCTGGTGCGCGTTTGTGAGGGCGTCAATGATCCATGCATGTCTGAGTGTGTTGTTGTCACGCAAGCACGTTCACACTCAAATGTGGACGCGCACACACACACACACTGGCGCATACATGCACACACACATTGGTGCACATTTTTAAATTCACATACACAAACACACACACACACACACACACACACACACACACACACACACACACAAACACACACACACACACACACAAACAACCCAGGATGAGCCGGCGCCTGCAAGTGGCGGGCTGGAGGAACTGCTGGGCGGACAACAGCGACAGCAGCAGAGCGAGCAGACGACGCCAACATCCCTCTTCTCAGGCATGTCGCTTGGCGGTGCAACGACTGCCACTACCGCCGCCGCACCAGCAGTCACCACAGCACCACAGCAGCAGAGTAGTGGCAGCCTGCTGGACATGGGCGACGACACCACGTCCACCACTACAACGACAACGACGACAGGCGGCAGCACGGGGGGATCATCCCTCTTCTCGGGGATGGCGCTGGCAACAGGCGATCAGCAGCAGCAGCAGCAGCAAGCTGTGGGGGAAACAGTGAAGCAGGAGGTGAATGGCAACCAGGGCAGCGGGAGCCTGCTTGATCTTGGTGATGTCTTCTTGGGCAGCAACAACGCCGGCAACGCGCCCACACCCCAGCAATCTCACCAGCCAAGGTAGGCAAGGGTATGTGGTGTTTGTGTGTGTGTGTGTGTGTGTGTGTGTGTGTGTGTGTGTGTGTGTGTGTGTGTTTGTTTGTTTGTCTGAATATGTCTGGGTGGCTCTGTCCACCTGTCTGAGTGCCCGGGTTTGTTCTTGTCGGTTTCTGTGCCATTTTAGTCACCTTTGTGTCATGCATTCACCACACCTCTGCCACACCCTCGTCACACCTGTGCCACGTCTCCTCGCCCCATTGCTCACACGCTGCTTTGCTGTCTATCTCGACGGATATTGCAGTGCATTTGCCTCGCTCCTCGGCAACTCTACACAACAGCCACAGCAGCAGCAGACACAGCAGCAGCAGCAGCCGTCGCAGTCCGGGTTTGACCTGTCGTCACTGTATTCACAGCAGCAGACGCCACAGCAGCAGATGCCGGGGATGATGATGCAGCCCAGCATGCAGCAGCAGATGCAAATGCAACAGATGATGATGATGCAGCAGCAGCAGCAGCAGCAGCAGCAGCAGCAGCGCATGCAGATGCCCATGCAAGGCGGTGGCATGATGATGCCGGCGATGATGGCAGCACAGCCGCCAACAACGGCAGCAGCAGCGCAGAACGGGCGAACAAACACATCCACACCCCCAAAGACGAAGAAGGCAGACGCCTTTGATTTCGTTGCGCAAGAGCTCGCGAAGTCCCGCAAGTGACCTGCGATTGGTGTGCTTTTTACTTGCTTCCCTCGCCCTCACCAAACCCCTCGTTAGTCGTTCCACCTCCACCTTCTCCACCCCCCCCCCCTTCCCTCATCGTTCTGTACAGTGTGTGTAAGTTGGGGTTTGTGCCTCCTCCTGTTCCCACCTCCCCACTTCTATCCACCATCTGTACCTGCCGTGTTGGTCTTTGTGTTGTTGTGCTTCAGCCATCCTTCAATGAATAGAACGAACGCGAAAGAACGCCAGTTGCTTGCGTGCATGCGCGTGTGTCAAGCGATGTACAGCAGAAACTGTTTGTTGGGGGGGGGATAACGAGGGAAAGAGAGCAAGGAGAACAAAACGCTACAGCAAAAGTGCGACAAAAGGGGCAAGAAGGCCCTTGGCTAAGCGAAGAAGTGGTTGCGTAAGCGCAACACCGCGCATGCACCACGCCGAGCGCAAGAAACGCGCGCGCGTGCGCACGCACACACACACACACACACACACACACACACACATGCGTACAGGTACGCAAATGCATACACACACACACACATGCGTACAGGTACGCAAATGCATACACACACTCACACATGCGTGCTGGTACGCAAATGCATACGAGCACACCCAGCCGGCTCAATCGTAGGAGACCTGGAAGTAGCGTGCGAGCGGGCGGAGACAGCGGGACGTTGTCTCGCCAATGTTTTGGCTCTGGTAGTACTCGACCAGCGACTGCATGTCGTCAAAGACGGAGTCGCAGTGCAGAATCTGGCGGGGTGGTGGTGATTGAAAGGGGTGGTGGTGATTGAAAGGGGTGGTGGTGATTGAAAGGGGTGGTAGGTGAATGAGGATGGTGGGAGTCATCGTGAATGGGGATGAGGATGGTGAGGGCGTGGTGCAGAAGAAAACAAAGGAGAACAACAGTTGGGTGGGCATGTGCACGAAAAAAGAAAACAAACCATAAAATACGTGCAAAACCACACACACACACACACACACACACACACACACACACACACACACACACACACACACACACACACACACACACACACACACACACACACACACGCACACACCTGGAGTTTGTTTGTGGGGAGGAGACAGACGCGAAAGTGTCTGATGATGTTTGACGTGTCGATGGCAGAGAGGCTAAACCCGCGGTGGTTCGATCCATCCCGCAGCAGGTACGTCCCGTACGGCTGCCCCTTCATCAGCGCCTCCGCTTGCTGTTTCATTCGTGTGTGTGTGTGTGTGTGTGTGTGTGTGTGTGTGTGTGTGTGTGTGTGTGTGTGTGTGTGTGTGTGTGTGTGTGTGTGTGTGTGTGTGTGTGAAACTGAAAGCTGACCGTCTGTTCAGGACAAATCTCACATGTCACACGCCCATACACAATCACAGGCAATCACAGACAATCACGCACACACACACACACACACAGACTCACACACTCCCTCACACACATACACAGGCGCACACTCCCCCTCGCGCACCTCGCGCGAAATGCCTGGGTGGTAATAGACAAAGTTCATGAGGGCCTTGCTCATGCGGGCAACACCGGGATCAGCCGGCCTGAGGGCAACGAGGTGAGACAAAGGGAGGAAAAGCACGGTTGGGTGGGGTAAGGATGGAGAATGAATGGGAGGGGGGTTGTTGTTTCGAGGGCACCGAGGGTAAGACATTCGCAGAGGGGGGGGGAGATACGTTGCATGCTGAGACTGCTTGCACACACGGACCTTGTTGCTTGCGACATGGACGATGACCTCGCTGGTGGTGTTCCTGCCGGAGTCGCACCGGTTCGACGAGGCTGCCTGTGTGCCAGGAGAACAGGGCACACGCATTGTCAGATTTGATATTCGAGACAGCAACACAGAGATTCATGTCTGCTCAAGCGACGTTGTCACGAAACCACACACACACACACACACACATGAAGATGGGACAAACACAACACACAACACGCACATCACACACCACACACAACACACAACACGCACATCACACACCACACAAACACACACCATACACAACACACAACATGCACATCACACACCACACATGCACGCGCGCGCGCGCACACACACACACACACATACCCACAAGTGCACCATTCAAAGGTACCAACCCCCCTTCCCGCCTTCAAACTTGAATCATTGCGTCTAACTCACAGGGTTTGTTGCCTGTTTGCACCGCGCTGAATGCCTGGTGTCATCCGGGGCGATGATCTGTCAGTGCGTGCAGCCGCTGAGGACGTGGATGCCCCAGAGTAGCGCCGCGGATCGGAGGAGAGCGAGCTGCTGTGGTGGGATGTGGGCCTGCTCGCAGAGGGCGGTGTGGACATTGGGGACGTGGCGCCTTCCTCAACGAGGGGGTGCGCTCGAAGTGAGGACCTGCGCCGCGTGGAAGCGGAGAAGGATGCCTGCGTGCGAATACCGTGGACTGTGGGGCTGGATTGCGAGCTGTGCCTGCCACCCGCAAGGTAAGACTGGCACTGACGGGCGTCTGTTGAGGTCTCCCACACGTACTCGCGCAGCGTGCGGTCGTGTGGCAGCGACACGTACGGCGATGCGCGCTTGCCCGTGGCTTGCGGGTCAAACTCTGTTGCGTCCAAGTTCAGCGACGTCAACGAGTTGACAAAGGACACCCACTCTTGTCGCATGGCCAGCACTTTGTCGGCACTATCCATTGTCCCGGTTCAAACCTTTGATGAAGCTCAAGACGGAGAAGAGGTGTGTGGTTGCTTGTGAAGGTTGATGAGGACGACGGGCGAGGGAGGCAAAGAAGGAGGCAGGTGGGCGCTGGTGGACGTGGTGTGGTGTGGATGCTGAGCGAGCGAGCAAGCGGGGATGTTTGGCTGGAGTTTGGACGATTTGTGAATGATTTCATCCAATTATCGGCCGACCAAGGAACGACGATGACAAGCAGAGGAACAGCGCAACCACCGTTACAACGCGTGGGTGATCGTGGCGGTGGTGATGACAGTGGTGGTGGTGGTGATGGCACCAAGAGCCGTGTGCGCGGCAACCACGACAGGGATGCCGACACCACGCAACACACGGATGCTTTGAACGGCATGACGGATGAGAACGACTACACGGGGTATTCGGATGATGATGATGATGATGATGATGATGATGATGATGATGATGATGATGATGATGATGATGATGACTTTGAGGAGGGGAGTCATGAAGACGACGTGAATGAAGACGATGGCGATGACGATGGCAGTGACAACAGCGACCGCGACAGCCGACACGACAGTGGCAGTGACGACGACAATTACAGTGATCACGACAGTGACAACAGCGGCCGCGACAGCCAAAACGACAGCGACAATGGTGACGACGACAATCACGACAACCACAACGACCGCAACAGCGAGAAAGGCGATGCTGTCGAAGAGGGCGCTCAGCAACGATCCATGCAAGGACACAATGACAGCAGCACCGCTGGTGCAGAGGCTGGGTCCAGTCGCAAAGGAACAACAGACAAAAAGGAAACACAAGGAGTCGCCTCCTCCTCCTCCTCCGCTGCCGCCGCCTCATCGTCCCTGGCAAAGGCTGCGCGTGAGGTCTTGCTGCAGAACCCGGCCGATGCAGAAGGCTATCGGCGGCCGCAGTCTTTTGCGCAGTTTGTCAAGCAGCTGCGCCGACTCAGAGAGCAAGAGCGAAGTGCGCAGCATCCACTGGACGTGTTCCTGCAACGGCCACCGGTGCAGGGCCCAGACGAGGTGCAGCTGCATCAGCACGTCCTGCGGCTTTCCGCAACGCACGTGCGCGCGCAGGATGAGCGCACCAGGGAGCACCAGCAGCTCGTAGCCCGCATTGACCGCCTCCGCGCGTCCGTGCATGAGTTTGTGGGCCTCACCAACAACCTCGTCCAGCACCAGCACCAGCACCAGCTGCTGCAGGAAGGGGACGCCACAACAGAGCCGTACGGCACCAGCCGCTCCCAGCACATGCTGGCCAAGGTGCAGGAGACGATGGAGAATGTGGAGAGCAACATCGACGCGTTCAAGCAGCGGCAGATGACGCAGTACGATGCGCTGCTGCGAGACGAGGCGGCGCTGGCGCGCGAGCTGGTGCTGTCTGGGGACCGGTTTGGCCAGTGGCAGGAGGAGGACAGGCGGCGGGCAGAGGAGCGGCGGAGGCGGCAGCAGCAGCGGCGCACTAGTCTCAGTGATCAAGTCTGCGCGATTACTTCCTGCAGTTCTTGTTATATCCCGTCCGCGCCTTACAAATTCGGTGCACGTGTCATGCCATTCGGCTGCTCAATTACAAGGTAGAACTCGTACAGTCGCGCGGGGCGTGGGACGGGTTCAGACTATTCCATTTCCCTTACCGCGCAAATCACCCCCCAGGACCTTGAGCCTGTACAACAATCCAGGGTGAGTGTGCGTTTAGGTGTATAATTCAAATGTCGCAACTCTGAGGGACCTCAAGTTTTTTGCTAAAAACTGACGTTCTCGTGGTACGAAGTTTGTTTTAATGCAAAACTCTGTCCAGAATGTGCGCCCACCTTGATGACGCAAAGGAAGATAACCGGGTTTAGGTGGCGTTTTAACGAGACCACTCTCAGATGTGCCATATGTGGTAAAGACTAGGGCAGTACCTTTCTGCGAACTACTATACGATCGACATCGACCTGCCTTGTACTCATAAATCTATTCAGGGTTTGCAAAAGAATTGTTGATCCTCAGGACCGAAGGGGGGGAGTTGCTCTTACATGAGCCTGTTGCCAAATGACCATGTAGGCTGACGGGTCATATAGTAGGTGAAGTTCACTCACCCAGACCACAACGTGTTCCTTCGCCTGCGCAAGCAGCACAAGGGAGACAAGGCGGGGCTGGCTGGGGCGGTGGCGGAGGCGCTCGTGGGCAAGTCGCAGGCAGACGCAGAGGAGCACGAGCAGTGGTACGCGACGCTGGTTGAGCTGCGGCGCAAGTACAAGGCAGCGATTGCGGCGTGGCGGCGGGAGCAGGAGGAGGAGAGGGCGCGCATGGCCAAGGCGATGCAGGCCAAGGGCCGGGACGACGACCAGAGCGGAGAGGCTCGGCAGCGCAGGCAGGAGGAGGCGAGGCGGCAGCGGCAGCGAGAGAAGGCGCGGGAGGTGGCGGCGTGGCGCAGGCGGCAGGCCGAGGAGCGGCGCAAGGCAGAGCAGGAGCAGGCCAGGCGGGAGCGGGAGAAGGAGGAGCAAGCGCGGCAGGAGGAAGAGCAGCGGCAGCGCGCGCTGAAGAAGCAGGTGTCCGCATACCGGCGGGTGCGAGAGGCGGAGCAGCGGGCGCGGGAGGAGGCCGAGGCGCAGAGGAGAAAGGTGGAGGCTGCGGCGGCAAAGCCGTCCAATCACGACCTGCAGCGGCTGCGGCGGCGAGATGAGGAGCGCATGCGGGCACGGCTGGAGAAGCAGCGTAAGGCCGAGGAGGAGGCGCAGGCGCGCGCCCAGCGGCTGGACGCCCTGCGCAGCAAGGTGGCGTCGACGGTGAAGGTGAAGCGCGATCCTGGCCGCCTTCTGCGACTCAACGAAGCAGCGAAGAACAGGAAGAAGGACACCACCAAGCAAGGCGGCCAGGTCATCTCCCGCGCCCCACCAAAGCTCAAGGTGCCCACATGGCGTAAAGGCATGTGAGCGTGTGTGGGGGGAGTGCACCTGTTTGTCTGGTGGTCTGTGTGTGTGTGTGTCTGTCTGTCTGTCTGTCTGTCTGTCTGTCTGTCTGTGTGTGTGTGTGTGTGTGTGTGTGTGTGTGTGTGTGTGTGTGTGTGTGTGTGTGGGCGAAACCTTGTTTGTCTGTGTGTCTGTTTGTTTGCCTCTGTCTGCCTGTACGTCTGCCTGCCTGTCTGTTGCGTGTTTGGGCGCCCCTCCAGCCCTCCCTGTGGCATGCGGTACTTTTATTCTCTGCCACGTCCACTTGGTGGTTGTTTTAGCGCTCTCTCTTCTTTCACGCGTTCGGGCTGTTCGCATTGAGTGTATTCGTGGTGGATATACTACGTGCGCAACGAATGGAGAAATGGATGAATGAACAAGAAGAACGAGTGCGTGGAAGAACCACTGCAAACCCCAGGCTGGAGCATGGTTTGAGATGAGAGTTGCAGAGACAGAAGAGGTGAGAAACACGCATACAAAACAGGGTCAATGGGGGCACCAGGGCACCGTACTGGCCCTCGCTGTCAGAGCTTAGACTTCGCTGGCGTTAAGCATTTCACCCGTGTTGTGGGTACCCCTCGCACGTGCGCCACCGTTGCCCTCATCGCCATCACCCTCGCCACCACCATCAGACGTTTCTTCTCCGCCCTCAGTCTCCTGGCCCTGGCCACGAGACTGGTCCTTGTCCCCCTTCTCGTTGCCATCCTTGTCACTGCCCCCTTCCCCCTGCTTGCCACCAGACTCGCCCTTGCCCTCCTGGTTGCTCCCCTCGTCCTCCTCGTCGGCCTGTTCCTTGGTCTTTGCTGCTTTCTCTGCGGCATCTTGCTTGTGTTTGCTCCTCTTGAAGATGAGTCCAGCAGCCATGACGGAGACGCTGGCCAGCAGGCCAGAGAAGCCAAGCAAGGCCTGTGCGCTCTTGTTGTCCACGTCCTTCTTGTTACGGTGGGCGAGAATCATGGCCACAATACCCATGCCGTAGCACATGGCCATGACTGCGCAAATGGCGAACACGCTCATGCCATAAGACAGGTGCTCCTTCAAGTTCTTGTATCGGCGAAGCTTCCGCTCCAGCCGCTCCGACAAATGATCCGTGTGAACGACGGAGTATCTTGACGAGCCAAAGGGGAGTTTGTTGTCCAGCAGGTCCTGCAGCATGTCCTTGAGCTCGTCCTCGACGTCATCGAGGATGTCCTCGCTGTCTGTTTCGCCCAGGTACTGGCCGAGCATGTCGAACCGCTCCCGCAAGAACGGGAAGGCTTTCCGGTAAGTCTCACTCACAAAGTTGATCCTCATCCTTGTGGTGTGGTGTCAGGCTGCTGCTGCTGTTGTTGTCAAAGGGGCTGATGTGCTACTCAGCTTGACCTTGCTCCAATGTACGATGCGCGGTCAGTCTCCTTGATGTGCGTGGCTACTGCGGCGGTTGTTGCTGCGCACTTGATTCGCCAAAACGACCGTCAAACAATCCTCACACTCGCGCGTTCCTGCCAATGCTCCAATGAGTGTTCGCCTTGCTTGCTTGGGTGCTTGGGTGACTTGTTGGCGTGTGGATCGGAGGAAAAATGGCATTCGTTCTTGGAACACTGGTGCAGGTTTGTAAGTCTGCAAGCTGGGCTGGCTGGGCTGCCTTGCTTGGCTGCCTGCAGGCACCGTGAGCGAGTGATGTGACACCTGGCTTGCATCAATTCTCCTATTCTCGGGGGTGATATTGCTTCTGTTCCTTGCGTGTCGTGTGCCATTGCTGTTTACAACAACACATTACTTTTGCATCTGCTTTCATCGCCATCATGTCACATTCATCACGGTGTGACGGGGACGGGGCAAATCCTATGTATTCGAACGAAACACCACACTTCCAAAACGCGGATGCGAACAAAATGTAGGCTGCACGCGATGAAAGCATGGGAAGTGCACTCACAGAAGTACATAAGGAATGGCCATCCCCACACGCAATCAAACAAGAAATGCAAGCACAGTGTGACCGATGTGACATTGTGGAAAGACGGCCGCCATTCACACCAACGTCACACACACACACACACACACACATACACACACACACACACACACACACACACACACACACACACACACACACACACACACACAGACATGTCAAGAGGAAGGAGACATGCGCGCGCCCTCGCTGCGAGTTCACCAGAGGGATCGGCCCTACCTTCACGGAGTGAGGTTGGCGATGATGACGGGGATGATGGCCAGCGCCACGCGCAGCAGCATGACGACAACGACTACTATTTCGATACTTATGATATGCACGAGGTCCTTGACGAGGTCCTTGACGGTGATGTGGACCCAGCAACGTTGCACAACAGGCAAGTGGCTGCCCACGCTCATGACGATGAAGTGCGGATACGGCTTGAGCTGGAGCGAAGAGCAACAGCAAATGCACCGCGTGGGTCCATGCGCAATGGGCATTCAGACACTCAAGCAGCACCCTGGACAGGAGAGCCTGTGTCGGCGCTCAGCACCACGAGCGTGGGCTCCAGTGAGCGGAGGCACAGCACAACAGACCTGGAACGAGGAAGCACCCCTGACGCACCGCGCCGTGAGGTTGATTTCACGGGCGGCTCCCATGTACTGCACCTTCCCGTCGCTCACCCCAACTCAGCCACGCTAATGCAGCCGCCACAACAACCACCTTTTCTCAACACGCGTGATTCCGGTTTCTCTTGCGTCGCTGCCGGACAACCTTCCAAACCACAACCACAAGGCCCGCCCTCACCAACAACGCCACCGACGCCACCAACGCCAATGCTCCGGCTTTCGGATGCCGAGAGGGAGCGGATACAAGTGCTGCTGACGATGATGCGCGAGACCCCAGACACTGTCATCCAGCGAAATGCCAAGAAGGACCTGGCGGCCATTCTCAAGTCCCTGTCCAAGATGTTCAAGTGGGCCCCTCCTTACGCGGACGGCGACATTGCGTTTGCACGGAAGCCGCCACACGGCGCTGAAGCCAGCGACTGGATTTTCAAACACTACCGCCCCTGGGGCAAGCTGCCGCTGTTAGGGCGTGCAGTGGTGCAGGCCCACACATTCGCCCTGGTCGTTCTTGCCCTCGCCCTTTGCATGTGTGCGGCCTGCTTGATCTTTGGCATCTACAACCACATCGCCGGCGACACCACAACCACCGTTTCCACGGGCTTCATCATCTGGGGCGTTGTTGTCGGCTTCATCTCTTACCTTGCCCAGTCAACGCTGGGCGTGTTTTCCAGCGACTAGACTGGCTTCCCTGCCCACTTCCTTTCTTTCTTTCGCTTGTTTTCCCCTTCCTCTGCGTGTTTGCTTGCTTCCCACTGCTCATGTGGCTTCGTCTTGCAAGATAAATCCTCAGACAGGTGTTTGTTAACTCGGTTGCAAGACCGGACTCGGTGGTGGGGGGGGGGGGGATGAGTGCCTGAGCGCTTGACCTGAGCGGAAGCGGGCTGCTGAGTGGCTGAGTTTCTTGAGTTTCTCTACCGGTTGAGTCTGTTGATAGGTTGATGTTGAGTGTGTCCTTCGACAGGACACTGCTTAAGCAGTTTCTTCGAAGCACTTCAACCAGTTACCCACCCACACGTTCAACCAGCCTGCAACAGCTCACAAGAGCACAAGCCTGAGTGATGGGCATTGAGTAGCTAGGAGTAGCTTGCGCAGGCCTGCCTCTGCAAGCCAAGGTCCAGCTCGTGCGACCGCAGTGGTAGCAGCGCCCCCACCACACAGCACAAAAGGTAGCTGGGCTTGCTTGCGTGTCGCGTGCTTGCTTGCTTGCTTGATGTTGCTGGTTGCGTTGTCGACTTCAAAGGAGGATGCACTTCCAAAACTTCGCTTGCGTATATTTTGCCCATTTGCCCCATGTGTCCCATGTGTCCCATGTGTCCCACCGGCATGCTGATGAAACCCACATCACAGAAGTAACTTTTCCGTCGACACAAACATATGTTGCGTTTGTGGGAGCCACGAGGAACAAACATGACTGGGTGAAGGCTAAGGAGCAGGAGCTTGCTTCGTGGCTTGTCTGTCTGGCCTGCTTGTTGTTCGATGGCAGATGAGGTCGTGCGGGTGGTGGTCTGGCTCATTTTCCGCGTCGTCACTGGAACACAAGACCTCCATCCAACACCCAAGCCAGGAAGCAAGCCCTCCAACCCATAAGCCGCCATCAACGCACCATGCCACCCAAGTCACGCTCCTCGCGCAAGCGCAACAAGTTGCCAAAGAAGCCGATGAAGGAACGGCTGGAAGTCGCCCACCTTCTCGCCCACCAAGAGGAACTGCCACCGGAAGAACCTCAGCAACAGCAGCAACAGCAGCAACAGCAGCAACCGCAGCAACAGCAGCAACCTCTGGTTGAGCTTGGAGGGCACCCCGAGAAGCCAGACGATAGCGACGACGAGAAAAAGAAGAAGCAGGAAGAAAGGGAGAAGGAAAAGGAGTTCTTGCGGCGCCTGTTACAAGCGCTGACGAACACGCCGAGAGGTGTCATCGCCAAGAAGGCCAAGGCAGATCTCCAACGGCTGATAACACAGCTCCGCAAGGACCTTCCATCACCTGACCAGAAGCAGGACGAAGGCGACTTCACAGTACTCTCGCTGACTCCCGAGAAGAAAGAGACGCGCTGGCAGCGGTTTTCGTCGACCATTTGCTGCAAACAGAAGCAAGATGACGACCAGCAATACAACGTGCACCCCGTCAGGCGAGCAGTCAACCTGTGGTTCAAACACAAGAGATGCGCTCTAATCATGGCGGTCATCACGCTTGTGCTGACCATCCTCTTGTGCATGGCCATGGTCGGCATGGGCTGCTACGTTACCTTCACCTTCGAGCCGTCGGAGGACACCCCGACCACAACATCCGCAACAACAACAGCATCCCCGCCCACCACCACCACCTCAACCAACACCACTACCGCAACGACTGTCGGTCCAACTACGTCAACAAACATCTCAACGACTACGACAACAACAACGGAACTGGTGGACGAGCGCCACAAACTCGCCGAGGACTTCCTCGCCTTCTCCTCCATCATTGGCAGCCTTGGCCTGCTGGCTGCGGGTCTTCTCTGGGGCGCATATCCTGCGCCAACAACAGACGACGATGACGACGACGAGGAAGCAAACGGCCACGGCACTAGCAGCGGCGGCGGCGGCAGTGGTGGTGGAGGTGATGGCGCTGATGAAGGCGAAGGCAGTGCAGCCCAGCCCTCCAGCGGTGGTGGCGGTGGTGTTGGCGGCGGCCAACGGGGCGCACTCGTTCGGCTTGTGACGTGGCTGTTCGGATGAGTCGTGTGGTTTTGTCCTTTGCTGATGCCCCTGTATCAGCATTGTGGTGTTTGCTGCTTGCGCATTGCCTGTTCGCTTGCTTGTGTGCTTTGTGTAATGTGACTGTTTTCAACAACCTGCCCTTCAACACTCCTGTCAACACGCCAGCTCATTTATTCGTGTGAACTGGACAGTTGCAACAAACGTAAAAACACAAACGAACACCATCCAGCACAGCAAGAACTGTGGCTTTTGTG